GAATATCTACAAGCTGTTTTCAAGGTACGGCGTAATCCAAATTGTGTCTTCCAGATCAAGGCCGGAGGCTTTCATGTCAGAAGCTGCCCAGGAAAACCCGCTCGGTACCTCAGTTGGAATTGTAGAAATGCCAGTGACCAAGGTTGGCATCCTATGGCGAAAGGACACGAAAAAGAAGAAGGCACGCTCGCCATGGCAAGAATGGGGTGCTGTACTCACACGGTCGGGGCTGTCCTTGTTCCGCAATTCTACATGGACGAGAAGCCTAATGAGCCAACATGAGCAACACCTGAAACGCGGTGAAGCCGGCCCCGTAGTGTTCCAGCCGGCCCTGCCAGACTTCAAACAAGATCATATTATACCGATGGATGGTGCTGTTGCACTGGTCGACAACACTTATAAGAAACATAAGCATGCTTTCGTTATGTTTTCAAAGGCCGGAGAGGAAACGTTTTTAGCTGATAGCGAGAAAGATTTGAATGAATGGCTGGGTGTACTGAACTATACTGCCGCATTCGAGACTCTTGGTGTCCGCTCAAGAGGCATGATTGGTGGCTTGTACGAAGGACAGAGGAACCGGGGCATGAGGCGTCTAGAATCCTCGCATTCAACCAGGACAATACCGACAGCCACTGGTGAGGTGACGGTCCAAAGCGGAAGGATTGACAGCCAGTTTGCACAGCAAATGATGAACGCCCGGAAAGACCTCATGCAGGTGCGCATATCCGAATCCGAGGACAAGTTGACATCAGTTATCAAAGAGTTGGAAGCGCGCTTGAGAGATGCTAGACATCTTCAGATTCTTGCGCCTATTCAACCAAAGACACGTGAGCTTATTATCCATGCTGCAGGGCGCTTGTCAGCAAAGTTGAAGTGGACCCGTATTGAGATTTGGCGGATGAAGTGCCACCGTGACATCTTGGCCCAGGAACTCGAAGATGAAAGGCAAGGGGGCATTGACAGACAAGCACAGACCGATCGACCGTCAGAAGTCCATCAGCCACAGATTTCCCCTCAGCAATCTCATCGAGGCTCCAAAGTCAATAGTCTGGCAAGGTTGACTTCGAAAACTAGCTCATTGACCAGCGGAAGCAAGCCGCCCCCATTGTCTCCTGGCTTGTCGGGTCGGCCAGGGACCAAGTCCTCCAGGGAAACAGACTTTGGTGGGGATGAAGCTTTCAAGACACCACCAGAAACATCTCAGCAATCCAGTCCTAATGACCCGTCTGCCCACTTCCATATAGCTCCAATGCCAATGAGCCCCACGACATCGGACCGCCGAAGTTCATTCGCAAGCTCTTCTGCACAATCGCCGTCTTATGTCGCTGGTCACCGGCCTTCTATATCGACCACAGGCGATGGCACAGCGGATTCGGATTCGGAATCTGACTCTGAGAACGGGTCGCAGTATGCCACCCCACCTCCCGGCGAGGCGGAAGAGTTGGACTCCAAGCTACCCGAGGTATCACCAACGAGCACAACTCGACCAGAGGCTGGCATTGAACCTGACAGCGAACAAGCGCTTGCCGCTTTGGCAGGTTCGCCTAGATCCCATACTAGACAAAAAAGAAGCTTACACCGCACTCTTCGAGAGTCTCGTGGTAGCTCATCACACCGTCGTGGTCACAAGAGCAGAGACTCTGCATCTACGATTGCCAGTGACACTACCGAAAGCGAAGGACTGGCACGTGGCAAGGGCAGCTTCACTGTCCATGGCAAAAAAGCATCTGTTATCCAGTTTGGTTCTGACTGGCAGAACATGACAGCAGAAGAGCGACTGAAGACCAAGAAGCAGCTTCAAGAAGCAGCCGAGGCAGCATCCATGGATGAAAGAGATGGTAGTGTTGCTAGTGGTACTGCAGCAATTCCATGGTCTTCAGGAAGCGACAACATCGACCCCTTCGCCGTTCGGAAGCTATCGGCAGACACGACAAAGCAGCGACATGTCTCATCTCAAACGATAACCCCTGCGAACTTCCGTGAGGCATTCAAGATTGACGAATCCGACTCGGACAGCGCAGCTTCAGACATGAGTGATATTGCGGAAGAGTCGACGCCGAATCAACGAGGGCCTGATGATCAGCATGCCACAAAAGCCAAGAGCCCCCTTGCTGAGCATGTCGAGCGGCCCCCACAGAGTCCCATGACGACTGCAGCTTAGCTTGAATAACTTTATACCTTGTTGCATTCGTTTGGATTTCAAAAGTGGATTTATAGCATGTTAGCGCCGCTTACGCGGATACACCTTTTTTTCTTTCTTTTGTCAACTTTATATACTTTTCCAAGGGCTCATATGCACCTTTACATCTAGCATGGCGTACTTAGGCACCGGACTGAAAACGCAGCAGGGGCGCGTTACTTGTATAGATGGACTGTTGGAGAACGGTGTTTTCTCGAGCACATGGCCCATTGACGCCAACCGAGAGTTAGGATAGTGCGCATGACTGATACCAGGGTGAACGCCGCGGTGTTTTGGCGGAGATTCCGTGTAGTAGTGAAGCAGAATTGACTAGTCGCCTCATATGCCGTGCATGTAATGGATGATCAGGGCTAGCTGCGAGTGTGTAGATTGATGCATAAAAGTGCACAGTGGAAGGGATATGCCAGTGGGCCTGCGGGATACATGTTGGTACACGTGCTCGCCCCGCTTTGGACTAGATTGGACATGTGTACACAGGTTATGAAGCCACACCTCCTTCCTGCCCCCACCCCAAGCCACCACCTGCTTTGCCACAGAAACAGGAGCATACATGCAATCCTCCTTCTTTATGATTTCCTGCCTGACCTCACACAGCAGTAACACAGGCTAAATCAGATGAGGATTTGCGGCATTGAGCAACTACTGCAAACTCGTTACCTCCTCCCCCTTTCTCCTCTGAAGTATCCAGCCACCAAGGCACACAAGTTTCGCATGCCAGAAATGCGTGCCTGTTTTCCGAGAAATCCAAGCACAGCAAGCCATGTGATTGGACCGTGTTCCCGACTTATTCGGGGCAGGGTACACAATCGGGTTATAGTGGGGGCTGATAAGCGAACCGACGACGTGGGTAACTGGTCTGCTCAAACCCCAAGTGTCGCGAGCCAAACGTCAAGATCGTGTCACCGTCTGCATGATACAGGGACGCTGTGGGGGATGTTGCCTTGTTATCCGTTTTGCGCCTGGGCAAAAAGATGTTCGTGATAGGACTGTGAGGCGTTTATATATAAGGACATTGTAATGCTATCGCTGATCACTTACTTTCTACAGTGTTTTACAGTCACTTCGTTTCTCTCTCTCTCGCTTTCTTCATTCAGTCGCTACACTCCCCCCTCTGGCTAGGGCCTTAGCTTCCATTCTTTAAACTATAGTCTCTTTTATTTTTTCGTTGTTACGAAAGAAAAACCCCCAATATACTTTATTTAACAACTCTTACAACTTTTTTCTTCACCAAAAAACAAGAAAAATGTACACCAACGCCATTACTGCACTTGCGCTCTTCGGCAGCCTCGCCAGCGCCCTGCCCGCAGCCAACCTGAGCGCGCGCCAAAACAAGCCCTGCTTCGTCATCGGCAACCAGCAGCTCCCTGCCGAGACGAGCGCCGTCGTCGACCAAATCCAAGGCAGCGTCACGTGCAACGCCAACGCCAAAACAATCGATAACATCCCCGACGTCACCTCTGGCGGCCAAACCTTTTCCCAAATCAACTTTGCCTCTTCGGGCCAGGGTCCTCTCGCCTTCTCCCTCGGCCTCTTCGAAACCGCAACCCCCCTCGCCGAATCCAACCTCGAGGCCTTCCAAGACGCCCTCAACGTCTATCACGCCACCGAAGCCGGTCTGCGCAGCGAGGGCAGCGCCCAGGTCAATAGCATCAAGGTCCCCAAGTTCTTCCTCCAAATGCAGATTTCAAGGATCGAAACTGCGCTCGGTAGGGCACCTACTGCGCCTGGTCTCCAGGTTGATCACCTGAGGGATAAGATTAATGAGGCTGCGGGACGCGAGAGCCAGGATCTTAAGGATCAGGTTACGCAGTTGGCGACGCAGTTGCAGTAGTTGTCTTTTTTTTGGGGGGGGGGGGGGGAAGGTCGGAGTAGGAGTGTGGATGTGAATATGGATTGGGAATGGGAGAGTAAGAGAGACTGATTGTATCACTACTATTACATTTATTATACCTGAATAGGAAGGAGAGAGAGAGAGAAATTATCAAGATGGTTTTATACCCACCCTTGTTTTTGTTTTCGTTTTTTTTGGAGTGCATAATGAGTGATGCCTTGTTTACTAGTGATACGTTGGGTGGCCTTTTTGGCACGTTTGAATCGAAGTCGGGCCGATACACGACTTGTTCTAGATGTGTTTCAGGGTCGCAGTACTGGGGGTTGCCTGGGGCGGCTTTGTGGTTGGGTTTGGCGCGCGCTTGTTGGTGCTGTCGATGTAAGTACGGAAGATCGGGTAGTTCTTGGGTCCACAGACGGATCTCAAGTAATATTTACATCCCTTCTCTCTGCTTATGATGCTTAGCATAGCTCCAGGAATAACGAGTTTGAACTGCACGCGCTGTCCAAATTCTTGTACCTTTGGACTTCCATCTGTTGAACCACATTGCTCGCACTGGTCGTGAAGTGGGGATGGTGTCTGGCGATTAGAGCAATCATTGCAGTGCCAACTCTCGTGACGTAGTTTTATTGTACCATCGATCCCCCACAAGAAACCATTGTCATATCCGTCTTTGAATGAAGGTGGTTGAGATGAATCCACAATCAAATTCCATCCGATAGAATGATTTCCAGGACCCATGTTTCTTAGCTCATCCGCGACATTTTCATCGGCATAGTACCCCATGCATGACGGGTAAAAGTACAGGCTCTTGTCAGGATGATTCTCAAGCACAGATCGTTTTTGCTTCCCGTATCGTTCTGGTGCAATTCTATGCTTCCATGTTGTGTCGGATGAGGTCAGTGTGAACAGAGAAAAACGCGATTGTGATTTTTGTCGGCCCGCGATCCAGTTTTTGCCTATAGCCTCGATTGCCAGAAGGAGATCCGGATCTACACAGTCTGTGGGATTGTGACCGGATATGGCATTATCTGCATATGGAACGGGAGAACTTGGCGGGGACTCCAACCTGAAGCCGAGGGGTATCCTGGGAAGGTCTATAATTTTAGTTAAATCCTAAATTAGCGGCCACTTCATAGCCTAACCTTGTAAGATGTTCGGACGCCCATGGTATCTTGAGAGGCGTCGGTTGATTTCTCTCGTAACCCGTTCCTCGTCCAGAAGCGCGCCGTTAAATATGACAAGAGTCTTTTTGCCGTGCCGTGCCCTTGTATGTACGTGTAAAAGAACAACAGCCCACTCTCGTTCTGTGATCTTCTTCCGAAGATTCCAAGATCGAAGACGAGCTTCATACTGCGCTTTGCTAGAAGATGACCAGTCTCAGCCTTGCATACCATAGCGACATAATAGCTTACGTGGGACGAAAGCTATGGACTCTGGACATCACCTCCATCACGCCTTCAGGTCCTTCGAGTTTGCGGTTCTCAAGGATGAAGAGGCGGTGGATGGTCTCGCGGTGCTGATTCCAAGTTGCATCATCGATTCTATCGGCTTGGGCTCTTGGTTTTTGCTTCATCATTGTGTGGGTAGCTGATAAACTTGTTGGAAACAAGATAAAAGGGTCAAAGCATGTAACTACAGAGGGAGAAAATACAGAGATGAGATTGACAGAGGAGATGTTCAGTTGCAGCGAAAACTACTGTCGGAATGATGTAGATATAGGAGAGACCCTCGCCAAAGCCGCCAAGTTGGCCAATCATGCAAAACCTGAGGTTAACGTGTCTGTGCACCTCGTGCACGGATTCATCTCGTGCACGCTGAACACCATCTCAGCGATCTCAAAAATGAGGCTTTACAACGCCACATAATAGCTTAATATTTATAAAAACGTAATGTTATAGTAAATAGATGCTTGCGATTAACTTCTACTATCT